AGCACTATAAAAGTTAAGAATGATGCATCCTGGGAGTCTGAGTGACTCAGTTTCGCTATAGGCTGCCTGCTCGGAGAAACTGAAGTCTGGGGCGGAACCAAGTTTTGGTAACTGTTGTCCAGATACTTCAAATATCAAGTCAAGGTTACTGTTACCAATGCAGATCCATCCGCATTTGTTGATGTTGAACTGTGGAAGGGTATCAGCATACCAAGAAGAAAGCTTTTCTAGTTCATGTCGAATAGCAGTCATAGTGTCACCTAGCTCATGGCTATGACAAGGGTAAACGACTTTCAGGTCGGCGGCATATAGAAAGGCATCACCTATGGCAAAGCAGTTGCAAACACTTTTGATGTAGATAATAAACAAAAGAGGCCCGAGAACGCTACTTTGCACAACTCCACTTGTGATGTATCTCAGAGTAGAAGAAGCTGAATTGATTTTTGTTATTTGGGTGCAATCATTGAGAAATGATTTTAGCCAGCTTAGCAAAGGGTTGCTAGTACCCATAGCGTTTAACTTTTCGAATAGTATATTATGCGAAACCATGTCAAATGCCTTCGATATATCGAAGTACAGTACGATGACTATTTTGCGTGCCTCACGACTACTAGTAATGAGCTTGAAGAAGCCGAAATGGCACGTAATGCATGATCCGTTCTTCATAAAGGCGTGATGAAACCTTGCCATAAAATCTTCTGCAAGTAGGTATATATATATACCTATGTACAAACGTTTGATGAAGTTATAAACATCTAAGTGATATTCATGGTTTTTTCTAAGATGGCAACCACCCTTTATCTGGTCACAGGAGGGATGGTCATGGTGTTGCCTAATGAGTATTAGCACATCGGGGATATCGAAACTATATGGTGGTGCAGAGTACTTACATGTAAGTACTGATAACAAAGAGCAAATGATAAAAAATGTTACATGCTGCAAAAATGCATCGACAGACGGTTCATTTATCAATCCGGAGTAGAGAGGTTATTTCAAGGGACGAATTTTAAGAAAAAGGTGTCAAGTCGTGAGGTCAGTTAGGTTAAGAAGAAATGTAGGTTACATTAGAGTAGCTACTGAGTTCACTGTTGCATATCGTGTCGCACTCCGCTTCCTGTTCACTCTTGGTCGTTTTCTTTTTCAGAAATTAGGTTTTGACGTAACTGACGCTTTTGGTTTCGACATTGTATGCTTCTGCCATTGCTGCCAGTCTCTTTTGAGTCTAGGTACCAGTGGCACCATCGTACATGGTATAACCCTTTGTGGTTTGGTCGTCAAGGAATTGATGAGATTCGTTGAATAGGAGGAATTCACTAGGTAATCGTTGAAACTGGCCGAGAGAACGACATCCTCGTATAGGAGCGGGAAGTTTGTTCTACAGCATACAGCAGCATACTTGTTTATTGGGATGATGCAGATTATATGCCTGTGCTGATTTAAAAGTGATAGCACATTTCGTTTTAGAGTTTCCAAACAAAAGGGGAAAAGGAAATGTTAGGTTGGGCTTCAGGCGTCTCAGCCAGAGTGATCTAGTTCTAGTTTTTGCATCTTGCCTTGTATGTGAGTCCTTCGTTATGCATTAGTAGGCACCGAGTAAGTTTCGTTGAATGTCCTCTAATCGAATTCTGTCCGACACTTCCATGTTACCATGGATAACCGTGCAGTACTCTAATACTGAGCGAACCACAACCTTGTACAGTATACATTTTGCCTCGAGTGTGAGTGTCTCTCTGTGTAGAAGACCAATGAGTCTTCCGCCTTTGGAAACTATTGAATGTGCATACTCTGCAAAGGTCAAACTTCTAAAGTAGGTGATTCTGAGGCCTTTCACAGTGTTTCATATCTGCAGTGCGATGTCACTTAAGTGTAGTGTTACTTCTAGGTGGGATTCATTGAAGTGGAGGATGCCACTTTTATTTGCGTTTAGAGGAAGCTGCCAGGTCACGCTTCATGTGGATATTCTCTTCAGATCTTCTTGTATTTGAGAGAAACCTTGTGCCAGCGCTGCACGGGAAAAGCTGTAGACTATCTTCAAGTTGTCTGCGAAAAGGTAAGGTGTGCCATTTCGGATAACACTGCAGATATCGTTTACATAAACTAGGAAACGTATCGGTCCTGGTACACTACCTTGGACGATACCACTTTGTACAGGTCTAGGGGAGGAGTAGTAGTCACTGAATTTTACCGCTTAGAAGCGACCCTCTAAAGACGTTCTGAGCGATGACAGTAACGGCTCTTTGAAACCATGCGTTTGTGAGGCACCTTATCGAATGCTTGCTTGAAGTCTAAGAAAAGGGTAGTCACAAACAAGCTTTGGACATGCTTGCTTGTAACGCTGTCCAGTTAGTCAAGATGGCTGGTAGTGCATGACCGACCTTTCAAGAATCCATTTTGTGCTGGTGACAACAATTGGTTTATCATCATGTGGTCGACAACTGCTCCCACAATCACCTTTTCCATAGCCCTGGATACTGCTGACGTGATGTTTATAGGTCGGTGGTTTTCTGTATTAGATGTTGGTCCACATTTATGCTCGGGACATATGTACGATAGTTTCCAGCTCTAGGGTAGTTGCCACTGGAGAGGGACGTATTGAAGGCTTCAAGAGAATCAGCGGTATATCTTCCTCACCTCTTTTTATCAAGATGGTCGGAATTCCATCACGTCCAGCACAGTATCAGGTTCGAAGTGGCGCTATAGCTACAGAAACGTTTAGTTTAGTGAAGGCACAGTACTTATCGAGTGAGTCGGTGTTGACGGTGCACCAATGACTTTAATTTCGTCCTCTTGTATAAAGTAGCTTGTAAACTGGCTACCGAACGGCTCGATGACTTGTAGTCGGTTGTCGTAGAGGATGCCGTTGTCTTTGATCAAAATAGAGGTACTATTTCCGGAGCTGCTTATCCGGGTTTTCATCAGTCTCACTAGTGCTTCTGTATTACTAGTTTTGCTACATTGAATGCGCCCTTGTTTGACGGCTTCTAGTACTCTTTTTACCTTGAATGTGTCGTATGTGTCTTTGAGTGTGACAAGCGATGAAAAGTCATTCGACCTATACTACTCTCTGGCATGGTTTCGCAAGCGGTCGCGTTTTTTCGTAGGTATATAGTCAACTCTGTTTTTCTTAATTTCTCTTTGGAGCGGTGGAGCAATGTAGTCTTGAGCCGTGTCTACATATTCATAAAATAAATCAATGAGTTGTTCGGCTGAACTGACGGTAAAGTAGGGGCTCCAATCTAGGCAGCACAGAAACGACTATAGTTCATACCATTTGGCATACTTGTAGTTTCTGGCTAGAACTGTTCCTGACTTTTGGGCTAATGTTGTGCTGGATACGTTGAATTATCCATATAGAATCTCGTGATCGCTACCTGGAAATCGTGTACCTACTTGGAGTTTTGTGGGTGTGATTCCGTTTGTGAAGACTAGGTCTAGGACACTATTGTACCTGGTAAGGTGCTCCACATGTTGTTGCCAACCCTCTGTTTCAAGAATGCCTATGAGTCCATCAAAGCGCTCTGGATAGGTGATTGGTTTTCACGTTATATCTGGCATGTTAAAGTCACCACATATGATTCCGCTGTGTGTGGTAGTGTTGCCACACGAGCGAATACGCTTGTTAGCTTGTCGTCGTATTCGACTGAAGAGGAAGGGGGGCGGTAAATGTATCCTATTAGGAGGGATGTGGAGCGAGTAAGTTTGGCGATAATCCATACTGAGTCATCAGTCTCGTTTAGCTCAATGTTGGGAGCTGCTTGGCAGCGATGTCGGACTTTATATAGATAATGCACCCTCCTCCCTTACCATGTAGTCTGTCCCTCTTGAACAAGGAATAGTTGTCGACGGAGATCTCTGCGTCACAAATATCAGAGGTACAGCGTGAGCCAAGCACAACAAGAAACCAACAGAAAGATATAATCAAGAATCACGTTACCACATTGGAATACCATACCACCATGGAGAAAGTCCTGAGACCAATAATGACTAGAAACTGGCTCCAATTATCTAGGACGTGTGTCCAGAGCATGCACACTACTGCACTCCATGGGAAGGCAATTAGGCACCCTCACACCGGAATTCTTTTTGAAGCCTGACGAGGCTATTGGCAGCCTCACTTAGAGGTCCACGACGTCAGTGCACCACCAAACCTATAAGGAGTCACCAACCTCTTGGAAAAAAATCGAAGGCGGGTGAAAAAGGTTTTGTTGGAGTGTGGCAAAAACCTTGTGGCGACAGGCCGAAAGACCTAGAGATTTGTTCTTTTAGCTATCACAGGCCGTGTAGCAGCCTGATAAAAGCCATCCGAACAGTGGAATCCTACCTAACGGCCAACGTAGCAGTCTTCGTGACGACCACAACAGAACCACCTACTTAAGAGACAAAACCTTTATGCATTCGTGCTCCTTTCTGAGTGTTTGCGGCCACTGGAACGCTTTACCTGTCGAGACTGGAACTGAACCGACTATTGTCAGCTTCAAGAAGAGGTTGAGCAGCTATGCAGTGACACACGGTTTGTCCTCATCCGGCCGGGATAAGGACTGTGTTAATACTGCCCGCCGCCTGCACACGAACCAGCACGGTCATCCATATACTGAATGGCTTGTGCTGCCATCATCATGGCGAACCTGGCCTTATACTTTTCTGCCAGACGTCCCGTCGGGTTACCATACCCTATAAATAGCATTACTATTTGTATTCCGATAACCCCTCCTAGAATCTTACTCGCTCATTCTGTTTTCTCTGACTGTGTGGTTAGACACTTTTGATATATCATCTGTCCCCCATGAATCTATCAAAGGTTTCTCCTTCCCTTGTGTTCCTCTTCCCTTCACCTTGTTTTTCCATCGCGATTCCTCTCCCTAGATTTCACTCAACATCTTTCCCATCCTCTTTTTACAACCAGTTCAACCAACTGTCGGTTGGCTCAACACTGTAGGAACACATCCTTGGAAAAATTATGCAATCCCTACAAATTTAAACAACGCACAACAGCCCGTCGGGCTAACCACAGCTACAGCAGGCGAGTGGGTATATCTTCCTCATCGGAATGCACCAAAAATCAGGAACCATTTAGCAAGATCTAAAAGCGAACGTGAAGAAACCAACTGGTTCTCACTAACTCGTAAACAGATATTGGATACTGAGGTTTGAATGTTGCATACTTAACTTTTAGGCAATAGTCCCGCTTTATCTATCCTCTAGGTCACATGCGCTTAAACGTTATAGTGGCAATTTCGGAAAATTGGGGCATTGGCAAATGTGGAGGTTTGCCATGGAGACTTAAGTAAGCTTCAGTGCTTTACCTTGAATTAAGATGTGACTGTTAACTAGGGGTCACACATTTTGTATAAATATCACATCATCACACGTGCTTTGTGATTATGCTGTCAGAAGTAAAACAGGGCAGATGCATGGACAACATATGTCGACAGGTAGAGAATAAGCAGTGTACCTGAGTTCGAATGGTAAAATGCCAAGCGTTAATTACGCTTTCTGCTGTTATATATATATATATATATATATATATATATATATATATATATATATATATATATATATATATAATCGTGCTTGTGAGTACGAATGGTTGTAAACATTTAAATGAATCTGCTGTCTAACTGGTGAATGGTAAAAGTACCCTGTTTTTCTAGCCGTAGCGATATCACATACGCCGAATTGCCTATGTGAAATGTACAAATTTAGGCTAGTCGTCATACATTTCTGACTAGTATTCTCAATCAGGTGCAGTAGCTGAGTAGTGCGACGTGTCAAGAGTATATTAAGATACTCGCGTCCTATCTCACTGCTGGTTTGGAAAACTGAAGTGAAATAGTTGTGTACCTTCGCTATATTTGAGTTATCTTATCCCAAGGTTTTCATAATCGTTTCTAGGACATCCTACTGTAGAGAAAAATGTCCAAGGGCAGTTTTATAAGAAATCTTTTAGTCGTTGCTAGTTTTGTAAAGTACGGCATATGTTAACAAGAAATACATTCAATGGCTCTCTAGCATTTGCACAGCATGCTGTATGGATTCACAACGTGAGCAAAACTTAACCTACTGATATTGGTGTTTGGTTGAAGATTGTTAAGCAAAACGCAGTCAACCGGATTATGACCACAGATTTTAGTGTCAGTTGGTAGGGTGGGGTGAAACTTCCCCTCATTTTGTGTAGGTTGTCGTCACTTCCATAACAGTCACTCAATCGGGATAACAGTTGTTTAGGGCATTGACTAAACTCCATACTAGATTCGTCTACTTGTTACAGCAGTGATAATATTATTATAGCACTATGTCACTGTGCTACATCAAATAAAATGATCCGATATAGAATTGCTTTCTACCACAGTACCCAAATTGTATATTTGGCATTTATGTTCGTTGGTCACATTGATCAGTCACTGAAGAGAATCCTATTTAATGTTATTAAGTCCTAATTAATGACGAAATTCTATCGATCCATCAAAGTGCACCACGGTGGCGAGCCTTCCGACTGGTGACCACATTGCAAAATGGTAGATAGGATTCGGTCAGAACTCAAAACTAAACAACTTGGGATTGTTTGTTCTCCACTCACTAACCAATATATGCGTGATGAATGTTCATGAAGATACGTAAACCACTTGTCGTGATTTTCAAATTTAAAAAGGCTAATTTTCCATTGCTAACTTGTTTTGACAGAAAGGATATGGCGTTTTTCAAAAGAGTCACAATGATGGCGAAACCAGGTAAAGTACTATTTCATATTCAAAAGTTTAGGACTCAAAAATGCGGTTATTATGGGAAGAGCAACTTGGGAATCTATACCTCAAACATTTAAACCCCTAAAAGACAGAATAAACATAGTCGTATCAAGCACGCTACTAGAGTACCAATAAATATAGTTCACTATTTAATCTCAGGCCACCACCCGGAGTTCATGTTGTTTCAAGTCTTGATGCAGCTGTGAACTTGTTGCGTAGTGAAGAACTCAGCTCAACAGTCGACGAAGTTTTTATTATTGGTGGGTCACGCCTTTACCATGTGAGTTTCATTTTGAACAAAATACTTCAATAAACTTCAACGTATGTTCAGCATTTCAAACTTGAGAGTTTTAGTGATATTGCACTACTATGCTACCGATTGCGATTACTACTTTATACACCTGTGACCGTTTTGTGCAGTGGACTACTGGTTGACTCGATATTTATATTGAATACCATCGCAAGAATTTTCTGACTGTCCTTGGTAGCTTTCATAACCATTCTAAAACTAGTATTGTCATTTTGTCTACATGGACGCTTCTGTGAGTAAGAGCTACATTTACACCCTCACCTGAATGCTTTATTAATGAATATTTGTTGTATCGTAGTTATTTAAACTGCTCGTTATGTTCTTTTGCTTGATAGTGAATCTTTGGTACTGAGAAGCTGGTATTAGCAATTGTTGGTCATTAGAGTATTTGTTCTGAAACTGGGACGAAATAAGGCTTGACTGGTTAGGTTTGCAAACTGAATATTTGTCTGGAGCTTGTTTATATTAAAAATTTGAACCCCAATGACAGGGCTTGTTGTTATATCATCACTAAAGTAACTGACTAGTGAATAAACAGATGTAAAGGACCATTGATAAGTTTACTTTGAAGTCCAATAGGTTTTAGACTGTTGGTAAAACTCAAACGAACGGATGGCTTAGATCCATCTATTATTGATAAGGTAATCATTACATATTTGTTTATCGCTGCTTGATAAATTATACAGTGCTGAGCATTATTATCGTTTATTAGGTCCCAGACCTAGTGTCCGTAAACCAGTAAAATCAATAACGCTTCCAGTGTGATGTTTGTAAGTTTCCAGGTCCTGATGCATGCATTATCGTTGGGATTTCCACCTAACAAGACAATGTCGTCTGCATACTCCATTCAATCAGATATCCTACAGGGAGTGTATCAATCCTGTGAAGTCAGACCTCCCTAAAGTTACGTCCATTACCACGTTCATAACGAAGTTAAGTAGAAACGGTAACAGTGGACATCCCTGGCGAACACCACTAGTTGTCGTCAATTCGCATGACAACTCTCTATAAGCCATGACGTGGCTGCAATAGTTCGAGTGGGGAGCTTTGATTGTCGTTGCACACTTGCTTGGTACTCTCTTTGCAGTCAGACACTGCCACAACACCACATGGTCGATAGAGTCAAGAAGTATAGCAAGTGTCAGCCGCCGGTAGGTATACCGGTCTTCCGGAACCTGTCGGAGGGGAAAAATATGGTCGATGCACCCTACAGGTTTGGAATCTGCCTGATATTCTCGAGTTTGCTGTTCTCGAGCTCCAGTTAGGCATCGATAACTTTGAGCCCTAGCATCTTGGACACAGTATTAGTCAAAATAATTCCTTCATGCTTATCACAAGATTTCTCTCCCTTATAAACCCGTATGATTAGTGAAGTGCACTATTCTGACCGCAACGCATCCGATCCCTATATATTACTTAGTACCCCGTCACTAATCACTAATTTCCTACATCCATCCTTAAAAACTTTGGGTGACAGTCAGGTCCTGCTGCTTTGCATTGGTTCATGTTCGATACAGCCTTCAAGGAGAGTCGAAGGTTCGACATCTACATCCCATTCACGTTCAGGATGGATGTTGGGAAATAAGTGTTGCTGAAAGCCAGTTGAACTATGCTTTAGAGTATTCTGCCCAACGTTCTAGCCGCCTGTCCTGGGAGGTTATCAACCTTCCATCCTTTTCAGAGATGGTTTCACTTACGATTGTTTTCTTCTTGCCAGTATACTAAATAACCCTAAATAGTTGCACTGTATCACACTGCTTTGCCACCCACCACTGCTCATGATCGACGTGAAGACTCTTGGTCAACTTGCGTCCAAGTTGTTTTCGCTCCTCATTGTGGTCAGCCGGCTGAAATCAGTCTTCTCGCATCAATGAGTTCGAATCACGTTGCGTGAATCCAGTAACGTTTTCTGATCAAGTGTAGGTTAACAACTGTCTTTACCCCTCTTCCTACATCAGTGCTCCTCAGGATGACTATTACTGTCACGTTCAGATAGATGCTTGGTTATCTTCTCCCTAAATACGTACTTCACGTCCTTGTATTCCGATCGAGGACACGGGCTTCACTGCTGCCTGTTTTCTGTAACCAGTAAGATGCATACATACACGAGACCCATTAGAGTGCGATCAGAGGCCAAGCACGTACTCCAGAAAGAGCGGTAATCCTCTACCGACTGCTTATAGCAGTATGGTTTATCCATAACCATCAGTGGACACCATATGTGTCGGCATGTCTCCGTATGCTTGAAGTTATCGCTGGCTAGAAACAAGTAATTGTCAGAACGAAATTGCCACAGACAATCACAGTTGTCGCACTGTTGGCATGCGATATCGTAGGTCACTTCAAGATGCCTTTCCAATCTGTTTGGCTTCCCCATGTAAGTGTTAAAGTCAGCTGCTATTATGACCATATTTGAACGTTGCGCTTTTCGAGGGGGGAATTGATGACTTTTGATAGAATCCATTATTTGCATCATCCAAACTGCTTTCGGCAGTTGCTCATGCAGAGATTGCGAATAGGCATCCGGTAGTCTTTTGATCCTTCCTAGTTATTACAGTTCAATTCAGTCGAACAGAACATAGATGGTTGTTGATTGGGATCTAGTCTCAGATGCAGCAGGTTAGGTAAACGATACTAGACAAGTCAGTTGACTAGGCTGTGAACCTTCACCGATTTGGGTGATTGCACAAGGCAAACCACCGTTTATCTAGGCGTGCAGTGTTAGTTGAAGTGGTTTTGGATCAGGAGAAGCTAAAAGGTGGTCATACTAAAACTTGACAGCAGTCCGTGAATTCTTTTATTGTTTGGTTTGAGTCGTGTAAGAAGGTGTAGACTGTCTGATTGGGGTGTTAGGAATAAATGGTTGAAACGCCTGGGGAATATGGCTGAAAATTGGTCACAATAGTGCGTATGTGTTCGCTTTGACGTCTTCTAAAGCCTGGACATTTTCACCAACTTTGGCTTTTGAATTCCATCTTCTTCCAAACACTTTTGCTTCTTCGATGACTATTTGTCCACCCATCCGTTTTTGGATGATGGTGCGAAGTGTGGCAACTTGAACCGATGCACTTTTGTGCAGGCTTCTATATTGAATTTTTGTTTGTGACCCGGACTTCTCCTAAAGTTCCCGTGTCTGAACTCTGCTCGGTCTATTTTCACCTAACTATCCAGGGTAGTGTGGTCATCTCGCACATAAAATATATGGCCGTTAGCCTCGTGCATAAGTCTATTTAGGTTTGAGTTAAAATGGTTCTCCAGCTGATTTCACTTCGTGATGAAGATCATTTTAGAATCAGTAAATCTCTACAAACCACCAATTTAACTAGAAAAACATTCCTCAGGGTATTAAGGAAGAAGACCAGAAGTTCATTAAAGATGTCTTTTTTGGTAACTTCATTCTCTGTATTTTTACTAACTCAATTTATACATCTTTATCTGCTACTTTTTATAGTTTCATGAGCTGTTCTTTTTTGGACACAGCAAGAAGTATAGTATTGGATGAGTCAGTAATTTTAAATATGCGAGAGAAGAGTAGCTATCACTAAAGGTAGAAAATTATCATAAGACGGTAGAAACTAGGAGGATTAGCTTGTTTCAGTATGAGATCATTTTTTTTACTCATGTTTATCTTTATTGGTGCAGGAAACTTTGAGCCAGACTACGTATCCAATTCGTATATATTGTACTCATGTACTGAATGAAGTGGATTGCGATACTTACTTCCCACAGATTGACTGGACAAAACTGACCAAGATTCAGTAAGTGTTTAGGTTACTTTATTTCATTACTTACAAATGTCCTTGTTTTGTTATCATCGTTATCACTTTATTTACGGACCTATAAATTTATCTTACTTTTAAACGCAATTCACTCTATTGTGATCGTTATATGAGACCTATTGGATAGATCGTAGGAATGGAAACTAGCGGTTTCTAATATAGATAAACAGCATTTTCCAGTTTGTCTATTACTTCAGTCCTTGCCCAGTATCATCTAGATTACATTTCTGATAGTTCCATGTGATTTGGACATAATAAAGGTCCAGGTCTGAATCGAGTGTGAATGTGAAATTTTTGCCCACTGGTTTAAACTATGGGTTGCGAGTTCGAACACCGCCAGCCAGGTAATATCATTAGCCCTGCTGCATGAGTGTGCACAGGGTTGCTGAGTGGATCTGATAAATATCTATGCTGTCACTTCATGGTGGATACTGGCGTAATAAATGTGAGCTTGCGCTATCGTAAAGTCCTGTATATATTCAGGAACTTGTGATTTCTGTACTTCTAAGATAAACAATCGGGGACTTCATAGACACATACCACGTTATTATCTAGGCAACTTTAACCTTTTCCAAACCTAAAGTTGAGCTTATTTTGCACGTCGGAGTAGACTCCGAATAGATGCTCTCAACGCATGTTTTAGTGATCTTAGCTAATGAATGTTTATAGTCTTATCAACCTCTTTCGCTTAAGACTCTACGCCACGTCACGTGGTCAGTGCTATGAAGGCAATGATGTTCGAAAATTTGCAGCCTTCTCATATGCTTCACCTCCAGTGTCTGTTTCACAGCCATCGAGTTAATTAGCGAACAGCTGTGCTTTACACCTGATTCATATAATGGACAGTCGGTGATCACTTATCTAATAGAAGCTTGATATCATCGCCAGCATGCTGTAAAAACAGCCCTGAAGACCGTTTCTAACTCTCAAAGAGTGGTTAAACAAAGCCAGTAAACCTCAGCAGCTTCTAAATTAATGAATGAACGCAGACGTATCCCTGCAGGCTCTGAGTAAAATGACGAGCAAACGCAACTCAAATGTAGACTGTGGTGGGTAGTGAATGCTGAAGAGACGGAAAAGGCAATGACAATAGTTAACAGTAGACAATTGTTTAAACTTACTGAAGAAACTGAGGCGAAAAAAACAACGGTCAGTGAGGCTATAATGGAGAAGGATGAGTCTGCGACTCACTCCCAGAGTGGACGACTGGAACGATGGGCACAACGCTTCGAGTAATAGTTTGACTGGCGTCCAGCCACCATTGCGTTGCCCGCTATCCAGTCGGACCCTAAATGGAACATTGGGATATGCCCCCCAACACTAGCAGAAGTCGAGAAAGCAGTAGGTAACCTGAGATGAGGAAGAGGCCAGGACCAGACGGACTAACTCCAGAGATATACAAGGATGGTGGTAAGGTGCTCTTGGTCATGGTAACGAAAGTACTAATTAGTATATGGAAATCAAATACGATCCCCTCTGATTGGTCTGAATCACTGATTATCCCGGTCTTCAAGACAGGCAAGAAGTCCAGTTGTGATAACCACAGATGACAAACATAGTGTCTAAGATTCTGGGTTCTTATACTTCTCCGAAGTCCGAGTGGAGCTCGGGAACGGCAAGCCCGAGAAAACCAGCCAGGCTTTAGACTCGCTTGCGAGTGTACCGACCAAATATTCACACTGCACCAGATTCTGCAACACAGGCCCGCTCATCACCGCCCGACACCGGCTGTATATCCCGACCTGAAGGTGGCATTCGACTCCGTTGACCGAGAGGTTTCGTGGCAATGTCTCGCACTGAACGGCGTGTCGAGTAAGTACATCACCTCATTGAAGGCTGTCTACTCGAACACTTGTGGTTGTGTTAGAGCCTATGGTGAGGTATCCAGGGAGCTGTGCTCCTCGAGTGGTGTCCATCAAGGGTGCCCACTGTCTCCATTTGTATTCAATTTTATCGTAGATATTCTTATGGAGGTTTCCCTCTCGTCATCTGACTACACAGAGGTTGACATAATTGCGGGAGAACTTTCCGTAGATGTAGAATATGCAGATGACATAGTCTTGTTAGGTGAGGACGCTGACAAGATGCAGAGTCTACTGAACACTTTGAGTAGCAATTTGAGAATGTTTGGGATGCGTTTCTCACCACCCGAATGCAAATTGCTGCTACAGGATTAGTCTTTGACGGTGCCACGGCTAACAATAGAGAGTGAAGCGATTGAGTGCACTGAACACTTCACTTGCCTGGGAGGTTCAGTGGCCGACAAAATCTCTACATTGATACAGAAGGCTCGGCTGGCTTTTGCCAACTTGCACCATCCATGCCGCCGCCGCGATATCCGATCAAGGGTCGATTGTATTGTGATACAGTCCACTCTGTTCTACTGTATGACTGTGAAACATGGCCATTAAAGGTAGAAAACATGAGAAGGCTTCAGGTGTTTGGCCACCATTTCCTTCGTATCATTGGCCATGTTCGTGGTGTCACCACATGAGTATCACAGATATCAGGCGTAGATTTTTAGTAAGTCAGTTGATGCAGTTGTGAATATATATCGACTGAGATGGTTGGGACATGTGTCACGTATGCCTGCCTACTCACCATCTGCTTCGTCACAACGGTGGTCGAAGTAGGTTTAGGCTGGAGAAAGGCTCGGGGCGGCCGGACTAAAACATGGCATCACTGCATGAAGTCCTTGACTGTTCGTCTGAGATATATTGGGTGATGCAGACTAGTCGGTCGAGGTTCGCGGAACAAGGAAAACCAGTGGTTGGAGACTAAGTGGTATTGCTGAGAACCGATGTCAGTGGCGCAGTTGTATACACACATTTCCCTCATTTTAACGCTATACGGAACCTTACCATTTTCTCATTCTTCATTTCTCTCTTGAGTACTTTATATTTCTTTTGACTAAATTTTCATTTCTTCCACTTCACTGTCTTTTTAACTTGATATGCTGATATGAGGCGTGACAACTCGGACCGATACGCAGTAATGTCTGGTCCTATGTTGAACTTGATGGTGATCTCATCGGTAATTTAAGCGCGCATATTAATCTAAATCAGTCGAAGCTTCTTTATCTGTGCAAAGCTTCTGATAACAAATCGAACTCCCTATTCGGAGTGCTCATTACACTCAATAACATTACTGTCCACTGTCAGATGAGTTGATGCATATCAACCCTGATGGATTAGTTCGTATTCCTCGATAGTCTCAGCGTCCATAAGACTCAAACAGACTGGCAGGCAAACGTAGAACTTCGCACATAAGTGCATCGGTTCAAGCTGCCACATTTCACAATAGTATACAAAGAACAGGTGAATAGAAAGTGATATCAAAGTAGATAAAGTTGTGCTAGAGAATAAGCAGTTTGGAGGCAACAGTTAAAGCGAATATTCATACTTTAAGAAACGTTGAGTGAATACACCGCCACCCCGTACATGGCTCAGACTAACAGTCACAGACTTCGTCGACTGGTGCCGCATCTTTGTCCGGCCACCCTGAAACATTTTAAACTTGATTCGATTTCCCCTAGCAAGGTATATCGAAGCAGGCCGTTGTCCGACATGCACAGTGTGTGTCCCAAGCCATCTCAGTTGACTAAGGTTCACAACCTCACCAATCAATTTGCCTGTTTTGTCTAGTACCCCTCGCCTGACTTCATTACTGTTCATACGGTGATTCCACTAAACGCGAGGAATGCTGGGAAGATATGTGATCAAAACCCTGTAGCCGCTTCACACGGCAGGACGCAACGAACTGCAGCGCAGTATACTCGTCCTTTGATAGACAGTTGGTTATCTCACCAGTCGGCGCCACAAATGATGGAAGTTGGTAAACACCGAGCTGAAATTTTGTCAGCAACATCCGTAAAGAATCGGTATCTTGTCAACCTTTACTCACACGAAGGTACTTCCTGACTTTGTATTTCGCATATATGTGATAGAATTTCCTTTCTCTCAATCCATATCCCCAGAATTTATTCATTTAATCATGTACTAACCCCTTTTTTGTGGGTAACTTACTGTCATCATACCCATACCATGCTGAATAATAGTTCTTAGTGTCAACAGAATAAGTTTAACTTCCTTTCAGTATAAATCTTACTGTCAGAGGAAATAATTACAATGTATAAAACGCCAAACTTCAAATATTGCATACTGTTGTTTGTGTCGCTTGCATGCTTTATTGAATCCAACATCTTTATAGTTATGTTTATAAAATCTCCCTTTTAGATTGGCTCATCTCTGTTCAGTACATAATATCAAGTACACATATCAAGCAAATTACTATAATTCATATTCAGACGATATCGAGGTATCCGCATAGGAGCCCATATGCCAATAGACGTCAACAATTCGATTCAACAAAACAACGGAGAACTACAAGCACATTAATAAATAGTAATAACATCAATACTGTTAGATAACGTTTTCTGGTCAGCAGTTTTCTCAGCGCTGACTGTAGTTCTTGCCATAATTCTAATTCGTGTAAGGTTATAATGATAAACTTGTTCTGGGTATTTGGTATACGTCAGTTGACCATTCTATGTTTGTCTGTAGAACTATAAATTGATTTCATCGTAGTCAACCATTGACTAATGAACTACTTAGGTGATGGCTATTCAGCATTATCGAAAGCCATACTTTCTTGTTTAGCGTTTCCCTTTTTTTTGTAACAACTATGGCTGGTCTTCAAAATTAAAGACACCACATTTTTTATTTTGCAAGAAGATTAGAATTACTTCCTAATGTGTGCTTCTTATAAGAACATCTAAGTATAATACGTGGTACGATCCCGCTAGAAAGATAAAAGATCCTCAAAAAAGGAATATTAAGGAATGTAAAGGACAAGCGGAAAAGCAACAAAAGGACATTTTATCGCAGAATTTGAATCCAGATGTTGTTTGCCTATTACGCTCTGAATGCATACCGCGGTATTGTATCAGCACTCGTTTTAATCCAATAAATAAACCTATCAATCTAATTCCTACAATGTGCATCCAATGAATTAAGAGATGTTCATTGACTTGAATATTTGGTTTTCAACTAGTAGTTATCGGGTTTGAACCATGCCCCGCCCAATTGACGCTGGAAAACCGGGTACTGCCACAAACCGTCGCACCTTAAGTATCGCTCAGTCTGTTGTATGCAACTTTACCTGGTACAGGTATATATATATATATATATATATATATATATATATATATATATATATATATATATATATATATATAGTTGGTTTATGGGGACTTTATATTCAAGAAGCTACGGCCTGTCGGGTAAATCAGTCGGAAGTAAAATGGATGCCAACTGAAGACCTTGGTGGGTAATCGAAAAGTGACGGAAGCAGGGAACTCAGCGGTTAATGGATCTGCCATGAAACCTGAAGGTTCCAGGTTGGATCCCCGACGGTCGTGGGTGCGTACTGTTGAGGAATCCCATAAAGGACGAAACAACTGTCTAGTGTCCCCGGGTTCCCACCGGTTCTTCAAGTGGTTATTCCGTGGTAAATACCACCTCAAATATATACATATTTATTAGAAACCCTCATTTATTGCATGAAATCACCCTTCAACACTAACTTCGACATCTAGGATACGTGCCATGAGTGTCAGTTTGATGCCATCACTTGAACTGGCTAGAATAAACGTAGAGGTAGTCAGTGCATGAATTTGCACCGTGGGATTTATGATAGCTGTGTTGGAGTAGTGTTTATTAAGACCTAAAGACTCCCTGAAGAGATCTGTTAGATAATGTGACAATGGATGGAGACGTTGTCATAACCAAGTCAGGGGTACTTATGTTGCAGTTTCTGTGTGTTCACCACTTTTCAAACATATCACAAGCGCAATGAAAGTTTATCTCATGAAACCATATATATATAGGTAGAGTTCTTTGATAATATTGACCTGTTTTTCATTTGTCTTCCAGTCTACCTGATATACCCAAAGATACCATCACAGAAGATGGTTTCACATACAAGTTTTGTGTTTATGATGTTCCATCCGAAGTGTGTGTAGTTTCGAAATGTCGACGTATATCATGATGTTTAAGTATGATTTTTGTGACCTATCAATGCATAAATACAAATATACGTCATTTATGAGTTTAGTTTTCGAATAAGCTGTTCTAGTTGTTTTAACTGACTGTTCAATACCTAAACAAGATTTTGGATGGTTAACATCCCAAATACCCAGCTGAAACCAGATAGTATTGAATAGCTATTTTACCTGATTATAATTCTCCTATGCACAAAAGTACCTCTTTAAGTCGGGCTTGCAAATCCCATTACTACCACGTTAAACCTGAGCCACGGCATTTCAGACGTCCTTGTGCGTTACAGTACTTTGTTGCTGTGGCCACAATTAATGAACCTATGATTCGTCTTGACTTTAACTAATACAAATTCCCTAACGCACTTGATTCTCACGGTTCACTCCTAACGCTGACCTTGCATATGATTAGTCTCGTATATACTTGGGACCCTTTCTTTCTATATTCAATCCATTTACACTTCGAGTCAGGCTTTTCCAAGGTCTTACCACAACACACCATAATTTATACAAAAATAAAATGAGACAATAACTGATTTCGTGCAACATGTATTTTAGAACCATGAGTAGGTCGGTCGGAAGCTCTCAAAGCCTAGCTATACAACAACGTTACTAAATAAGTTATAAGTAAAGTGGCATTTAAGATGGTAAGATGACCGGTGATACTTATCTGAGGTTCCGGTTTCCTATTTAGGCACTAGCATTTAGTCAATTTGGAGAATTTATTGATCTCAGATTTCATGTCATGATTCTTTAAATACCTAGTTGATGAATACCTCCCCCCCCCCAGGTGACTCCGGCTTACCACATTAGTAAGTGACGAGACGCAGTCAATCCCATTTCATCCGACTAGTTTACGGCGAATTGGTTGTTTTGGAGATTGCCGTTATAGTGTGGAATAAGACTGTGATAGTCCTCGTAAAAATCCCTTAAGCTCCCTACAACCAATCATGTTGCACCGGAGATTCGAAAGCACATGAACTAACGTGTAAGTATCAGATTGATTGAAGGAACGAAATCGATAGGACATTCAAATCTAGAAAATACCCAAAGCCATTGTAGATACATGGGAACCCTCGTATTTTGAACATATTCTTGATGCTCCAATACATCTGTTACCACATAGCCTTTTCCAGCAAGGGATGGAATTTGAATCTTGTTGTTCAAGCGTCTACACTTAAATTAATATATAACTTTGGTCATATCAAGAAGTCACTACCAGAATCTAACAAGTGACATTGGGTTATAAAAGTGGCGATAAGTAAAAAAGGATATTTTCTAGTGAAGGATTTCAAGCCGTTTAGTAACGTTATGGAGGCAGAATGGAAGCGGCATTACTGAAAATTTAATCAAATGCTGGATGACACTTAGGTAGGATCTACATCCATAAGTTCTCGGGTTTTGAAAACGACTCTGTAAATACTTCTCTGATGGATACAATGAGGGTGAGATTGATTGTAAGAAACCTGACAGTATAGCTCATATTACATTGATAAATGAAGATGATAGTAACCCTTCCACTACGCATTATGAAATAAATAGTGCACTCATTTAGTCAAACCATGAATTATTCTCTGAGAGCTTGCAGCGTGATATGGCATGTTCAGTGCGATCCGACTTTCTCGAAAATGGACCTCATATTAAATGTTCAAGAAAAGTTCTTAAGGAGTGTAACGATCAACAATTACACCGTTACTCAAGGGCTTTCAAAGATCTCACAAGCATATCAAATGCGTTAGCTGCTTTGTATGATAGTGGTTTACTATGTGAAAAACAATTAATGTCCATACGAAAAAATGGACACAAGAATTGTCTCTAAGGCAGCTCTGCTTCAGACATCATATCCATTAGTCAGTGGGCAACTAGGAAACCCGCGAACCCAACCAAATTCCGAGGTCGCTCACACTGCATCAGACTAAAAAGCACATCATCGGGGTGGTATACTGTGGCGTAGCCTTACCAATTAGATTAACTACTCCCAGATTACCGTGGCTTAAAATCGATACGAGATCTCAGGGTTTCACTTACAATACCGTGGCCTGCTTGCAATCAGAACCAAAAGAGTATCAGTGCATGCTTCAGCGGATGTCGACAAACTTCATGCAACTTACAGAAGACATATGAAAAACCGGTGGATGACTAATGCGCTGCAAAAGGACAACAAGGTGGGTCGGAAGCTTAAAAATAACAAACGGGCCCTTTGTATCCCACATGAGATTTCGTCTGCAATCTCCTCGACTGGGCTGATGTAACTTCACAAGTGAAGTGGCCGACACGTTCCGCCACATACATACACGACCTCGTACTGGCATATGGTTGGGTCCAAATACGTGTCTCCGATGCACAACAAACACCAATGGCTTGATATCCCGAAGTCCTCTTGGGCGATGCCTGCTGTTGAACTCGGCATAGTGTTTGGACGTTGAAAGCCCGAATATGAGGTCGACGGCGTGGTCTTAGGAGACCAGGAAGGTTTAGTTGGCAATGGTCCCAAAGTGAGAGGTTCAGGAAGCCGTAAGAGGTTTAGTGCTAGTATCAGAAGGTGAAGGCAAAGTTATGTTTGGTTGGATTTTGTGTAGTGCTGTAAGCGTGTGGGTGTCGTTTGCATTGATCAATAACTTATTAAAATCATGTCATGAGAATGCCATTTTTATTCTGAAGTTGATCGATGAAAGAAACTAAAACCACATAAGCAGCGGCGTAAAATATTCACCATCCTTATTCAAAAATACAGTTATCACTGAGGATTCATTTATCTGCAACAAATGTGATTCCCCTATAGCCTATTAAGTGAAACAAATACTTGAGATTGCTAAAAATGAAAGCGACATACTAATTTTTTAATACATAAATGAAGACGAATCATGGCAATATATTTACGTGATTTCATGCTGTCAGATTAAAAGCAAAGAAGGGCTCAACTATGTATTAGCTCAATGCTGCAGATCAAAGGTAACCATAAGATGATGTGTTAATGTGAATCACTAAGAGAAACCGTCTCTGCAGTCAAAAGTAGTAAATTTCAAGGAAATCCAAATCCTTTATTGCTTTTTTCCTTGATTCGCTACACGTGCAATAGCAGCTGCAACAGTTGCCTCATCAGCGAGATAGTAGTGTTTGATTGGTTTTAAGTTATTGTCTAGCTCGTAAACGAGTGGGATACCTAGAACAAGTACAATTAAATATGTGCATGAAAATTATTCAAGTGATGTGAGACTAACCATTATAACAAAATTGACCACAATTATCTGAATTCGTTTATTCCTTTTACTTCAATGAATAAAAAACGAATTACTCTACATTCGTGTTCCTAAACTTTTATGTCGTCTTATCTGAATTACATAATATCTGGTCCGTTAGATTTCCAAAAATGCATAATTTTCATAAGTTTGTGACAAAAAAACTCGAATTGTTTTTTTCCCCTTCACATGTATCGTTCACGTTTTTACCGCTTCTTAGAACGATATTTCCCTGTTAGTTAACCTTTCACTTTTAATATAATAATCTACCGCTTCTAGATTCATGCTTCGCGATTAAAGTAAACTTTCTTCAGTCCAATATTTCTTTTTCCTTCTTAGCTGAGAGTTGTCGAGTATCTTATCGTTCATCCTGTAACTAGATTACGCATCCCTAATTAAACCTGTCCTAAAATCTCAACAAGTACTTTGTACGCTGTGCCTTTGATCCAATGTTGAGGGTTGTGACAGATTAAATTAATATACTAAGATAGGGTAAATGTCTTATATTTGACTTTGGAATTAAAAGGCGTATCTCGACTGGTGGTTTATAGGGATTAGTTGATTTCAAGGCGGTTTTATCCCAGACCGACATAACCTGGAGAAACATAAAATAGGGTTGCCTTGGACAACCGTTTTATCTTAGTATGGGACTCCTCGGAAGTGTACACCTATGACTCGGACGGGCATCGAATCCCCGATTGTCAGTTCTCACAGTAAGCAAGGTACCATTCAGATACTAGGTTAGAATCCAATGGTCCACTAATTCCTACATTTTCTAATTCGCAATCTGATGTGACTATCATTTAAAGTCACCTATGATAAATGATTAGACACCTGACTTGGCTGACCCAAGTACTTCTCATTAGAATTATGAGAAAGTCATCTGGAAGCAAGTCACGAATGAACACTGGACAGTAATTCGATTGGTTGCTAGTGAAGGTTGATTGATTTCAAGGTGGCATTCATCAGGGACTAACATCAGCTATGAAACTACTGAAAACTGCGGAGCGCCTCAAAGTACATACTAGTTGTTAGTCACAGTTCAAAAAGCTTAAGCAGACACCAGAAAGTTCTTTCACTTTGTTACCTAGTATCCTGCTGTGAGGTATGAAAACACCAACTATTAAGTCCCTGTTGCCACTGATTGGTCGACACAAGAATTTGTAATGAATGAAAGCATAAGCTCTTATGATAATCAGTAGTGTGTTCATTTGTACATAGGAGGAAACTGACTATGCATAACACTTGAAACCTCTGAATACTATTCTTTCAGTAAAAATCGTCTAGCTCCCCACGAAGTTTTTAATATTTCTCGGAAGACATATCAGGATGCTCATAGTGATAACGTCAACTATATATTATTGTTTTTTATTTACTAGCTGATGAGCCGGATCCTCAAACATAGAGTGACACACTAGTTGTAGAATAACTCTAAAACTTAATTTTTAGGCTCTAATCTGTGCTTAGGAAGTCAGTTTTACACTTTGGATGCTGAATATGAAAACTAAAAAGCTGACATTGAAAACATTAATAAATAACTGAGTAGTAAAAAGAACATAGAAACAAGCAGAAAAGAATATAATCTCTAATTTTCCCACACATACAAGTGTAGAAAGTTAAAGTCGTTTGGACCGGAAAAGTTAAGATACACAGGGATGAAAGTAAAAGGGTCTCATACATGTAATTTGAGAATGGTGTTCCGTACATGAAGTTCTATTGAATTCATTTGCCTAAATTTGGGCAATTCTGGGCTTTCAAGCATCACGGGGGAAGGAAGTTTACATTTCTTCATAGGATCGACCGTAAGGATTGTTACTAGGTTATATGATGGACTACTTAAGGAGCATAGAAGAATATCAGTTATTTCTTCAAGGGTTCAGAAAATTTTAGGGAGAGCTAAGTTCTCTAAACTTAACTTTCGTCTGTAGGAGAATGTTCACATCACCTTTGACTATTTATAAAACCAGAATACATTTTCAACAATCTTTAGTCAGAACAGGAATCGGATTAATTACATAATAACAACAAACAATTAGAACATATGCAATCAAGTGCGAAAAAATGAGCAATACAGTTTAACTAACCCGTAGGTATATTGAGTTCTACGATATCTGAATCAGATGTACTGTCTAAGTACTTGATAAGAGCACGTAAACTGTTGCCGTGGGCGACGATAAGAATGCGCTTGCATGTCTAAATTTGTAGAATAGATAAAAAAGTTAATTCATTATGAATTCAGTAAAAGTGAAACGTTACATGTACCGAAGACGTAAACAAATCAGCAGAAGATGCTTCAAGATAGGGGAACAACATTACGGTTGGATTTCCCAGGGAAGTCAATCTCTTAAATGCAATGCTCGTTACGCGACAAACAACCACTATTAACAATGCTCAGTCACAGAAAATGCTGATTTCCGACATCTCATTATATGAAACTGTCAACATATAATTTCTGATATTTACCGTTAAATTGGTTTTCTGGCACTGTAGAATACTTTCAAACACAGTTTCAGTGCTAATTAAGCCAGTTTAACATATACTGTTTCGAGAACCTTCTGCAGTAGAAATCCTCAAGGCAACCAACAACATGAAAGTGACTTTGATAAAGGACTTGAAACTTCTTAAGTAAATAAGGGCATCCAAATGTTAGTTTATGTACCAGTCAGTCATTCAAAACCAATTCTATGATTTGAAAGTACGTTCTGTGCCTCTTTTTTGACTATACTGGCCGATAGCAAACGAATGTGTAGGTTTTATTAATTCATTCTAACAAACGATGCCTCGGATCAGAAGTTATCTAGGACTCTTTCGCTCACACAAAACTACTAAGCATGGTAGTAATATCAAAATAATTAAATTCAGTTCAAAAACTACGTATACTGTGCAATGAGTAGGAACAGTGGTGTGAAAATCGTGCTGCCTGTCTTTTCGAGCCTTGGCAAGTGGGACGGTGCTTAGATCTGTAACTCAGTAATTGAAGACTAGTCGCCTACTTGTAGGTTCACCAGCATCCGTAATTAAAAATCCAAAACATTCACCAACAGCTTGGTAAGATGTGTATCGAGTGGTAAATGGAAACTTGCAGTTAAGTTAAAAGCCAAGCACGTAAGAGTATAATGAAAGAAAAAACGGAGTAGAGAAATATTCTGTGATCTAATGTCCTTTAATCAGAATCGAAAATAGTCTTTAACTGGATGGATTTAATACGGTGTAAGTCACTTTACAAATAACAATTGTCGTTTATCATTAAAGTGGAGTAGGTCTAAGCCTACGGCTAGGTGTAGGCTACATAAAAACAAACAAGATTAGCATACATAAAACTGTCAGCACTTGGATCCTCAAATGCACAAAACTCATGAATGTAGGAATTTATTGTAGCCTACCTTGATGTCTGCAGCAATAGTATCAAACCACACGGGAAGCACACGCTGTACTGTGTCCTTTAAGCATTCCGTACGCGGTATGCACGAAATATCAAGTAACTGAAAACAAAACATTTTACAATACAAACGGTATTTTTTCTATTTATTAGAATACAATCACGATAATTAAAAGGTGACAACGAAAATGAGAAATGAAACTATGAGCTGGCGAGTACATCTAAAGTTTAGCAAGACTTAATGAATTTACGTCTCTACATTTTCGAATAATATTCTGTAGTCTATTTTGTGCTTATAAGTGAATCAGATATCCTGATGATCCCAAAACAAACTATCTTAAATTGTATTCTCCAAAATTTTCGAATATCAATTCCCAAATAATTACTTTCATCTGATTCTACAGGGATTGGTTCTCTTCTTACCCAACCTCTACTAACCGTTACTCCAGGACTGGTTTTCTTGAACAAATGATTTGACAATAGTGAAGTCATTCAGTGCGTTGACCATCTCAGTGGCTTGAGAAGCCATATTAAAGCAGCTGCGTCAATGGTAAACGAAACAACAATAACAAAAGGTTCACTTGACTTTCGCCTATTTGTGTCACTTACAGTGCTTGTGTTAAACTCGAATGCTAAGGGTCAATTGTACGGCTGCGAAACAAGTTCATTACATGTGGAGTATGCAAGAATGCTTCAGATGTTGCCTTTGTAGCAATGCCCAGATCGAGGAGCCACCATGTGAGGAAAACAGAGGTTAGACATAGTCTTAGACAGGAGATATGAGTAAAACGATGTTGAAAACCTGAATCGCTTGAGGTGGCTGATGCATGTTACGCACGTTGAATTACCACCCACCTTAATGAACCACAATAACTTTTAAACTGAAAGAAAGTTAAAGGTGACTCTGCAAAGACCTATTATCAGTCACATAAGATTATCGCTGATGTTTTGAGGCATGTCTGGAAATGCAGACAGTTGGAAAATCCCGACGTTCAAGCAAGTGGCTGGCTTGAGAATGCAGTCTAGATATGTTACAGTGATGAAGTCTACATGACTATGGTTGAGTTGTACGTTGAGCTCATTTCAAATGTAAGTGACAACGACAAAATGCAGTATCGAAAAAATTTCCCGGAAAAGAGCATAATTTCAATAAACAACATTACTGACAATTATTAATGAGAAAATACAAACTTACAGCATATTTAGCTTCATTTCCTGGGAAGCGAGAGTCGGTAACGTCAACAGGAGGGGGAGGTATGTCGTATGCACGTCTCCATATCTTGACTTGTTCTTCTCCATGTTTAGCAGCAGTTTCTGATTTATTTAATCCTTGAAGAGCGCCATACATTCTCTCATTTAAACGCCATGTTCTAAAATGCACAAATATTACACAATATAACATAGTATTTCTAAATACTAGTCTTTAAATGTACTATTTCAAGTCTGTGTTTTGGATAGAGTACTATGTCTACATAGCATGGTGGCTGTTTGCTCTTGTGATAATTAATCCTGCATTTATTTTGCCTGTTTTTCATAAATATGAAGACAATTACTATTCTCACGAACAGCTAACTGATGGCACAGAACTACTTGAAGCCTTAACCTCACATCAACACGTTTTCTGAATACGGTTTGAAAATCGATAGACTTATCACAAAGCGATCAAAAATAATACATCAAACAGCCCAAGTGTAAGAGTGACTAATCTGTTTTTACACTCTAATTGTCAGTTTGCTTATTTTTAAACCATGATTCTAAGTTGTTTAATTCTTTTGTACTACAACAAACATCTAAGACTTATTCACCAGTAAACTAGGTTGACTTATATGCCACAGGTGGTCTAGATAAGAACTGATCCCGAAGGTGCAAATTTACCCACATATTCAATTTATCTTAATCGCTATTTTACATCTCGTTATTTGCTTCATCCCCTATTCTTCTCTAACTATGACCTCCTTTGATTTTAGATTGGAGCTTTAACCTTTTTCTTTCGTTTTGCTTATGACCTTATGTGAGGTGCAGCAACTTAGATGGTCACACAGCAATGACTGATTCACATGCTTTGGTCATGATAGTGAATCACCTTTAAACAAATTCGTTTTGAACCATACAAAACTTGGTCACATGACAAGTTACGGACACGTGATAAAAAGATAATGAGAAAAAGCATCCCATTTCATTATGGTGAGCAAAAATTAAATAAAACTCAATAAACACGTAGATTTCTTTACGCAAAGTTGAACATATGTTAACGTGACTATGCATTCACATACAACACTAGATGGAAGACATAAAACAAACCGGTACAGAAGTAGGTCAGTTTAAGTTACCACACTTCAGAGGAGCATAAGGAAAGAAAATGGATAGAAAAAAGGACATTAAGTATAGAAAAATGTTTGTGAAGGCAGATGGAATAAATAGATGAATGTCAACAGTGTTTAGGATGTTGAGGATGAGTGAGTATATCAGTGCCATCTTGGCTGATTTTCAGCCATATCATCAAGAGGAATCAATATAGTCTCGAGGACCCCAAAAAGCCAGTCAAAACCACACAAAGCTAACACTAACTGTCAGGAACTTCATGGGTTTATAGCAAGTATTGGTCTGATCCACTATAGTTTTCCTTTAACTTAATCCCGCTTCAATTAACATCGCACTTTGACCTAGAGTGGCTTGGTATGCACAACGTATCTAAATCACCTCAATCGCTGAAGGTTGATCAACTGACTTGTCTTCCTTGCCTAGTTTTGTATGCCTGTTCTTGGCATGACTCCATCATACAAGAGCAGTGTGCTACGAAGACACCTGCCAAAAACCTCTTCCTATTTTTTTACTTTCAGTGACTATTTCTCAGCAGTTCAGTAGAACAGAGTGGAATAAAACACAGTATACTCACCCTTTAATATGTAATTGGATTTCTCGCTGAAGCAAGAAATGATGCAAGTTGGTAAATGCTAGAGTGAACCTTTTTACCCAAGGTGAAATGTCATAAGCAATCAACCCACAAGGCTTGATACAACTCCCCAATTACATTAAGTGGTCAACCATACAACCAGTTTCCTCCGTATCCTCAAACAAGAGGTTGGTGCAGACTAGTACTGAAGCATTATTTAACATTTGGCAAATGCAAAACTTATGCCAAATCTACTGAGATTTCTGCGTTTTATCAGAGTCTAACAGGAGAGTGTTGTGTGCGTAGTTCAAGTCAACCAGGTGTTCTTCTGGAGGTTATGTTGGTCAATGCACCTATAACACAGTTAAGCGTGAAGGGTGGATAGGGGTTGTTACTACAGACAACAAACCTCCACAAACCCTTATACAACTGGATAAGTTTCAGTAAAGACCATTGATAAGTATCCCCAGCTTGCTCGGTTCTCGCTTTAGTCAGATAGCGGCGCAACAAATCTGGACCGATAGAGTCGAAAGCTGTCTTAAGGTCAAGAAATATGGCAAGTGTCAACCACCGGTAGGTATGTCCATGTTGCGAAACCTATCGAATGTCTAAGATCTTATTGGTGCAAACCTCGTCCAGATCTGCAATCTGCTAGGTTTTCGTGACTTACTTGTTCTCAAGGACTAGTTAGGCATCGGATAACTATGGACACTAGGATCCCAGACAGTGTTTCTAAAACTTTAGTCTACGACAGTCATACAAAAACTTTTCAACTTTCTCATAAACCGCAATGGTCAGCGAAATACAGTAGTCAGACGGGACTACCTCTGATTCCTATACACTAAGCTGGTACCTTCAGTCTACTTAGTAATTCACTAGAAATTTCACGAGGCCGACATCTGTTTCATACGGGTTTAGGCTGGCTTCAGGCTGGACGACTGAAGCGTTGCTGCAAGCCAGATGAACTGTTTTAAATTGCCCACCCAAAATTCCAGTGGCATGCAGAAAAACGTAGTAAGGGGAGGATCTATTTGTGATTTTTTCACCATATGTCGTTTTCTTTTAACCAGTATCCCTTAGAAGCCTAGACAATTGTCGATTATTACATAATACTGTCTTCTGCACCTCACTTTCGCCACCCACCACCACTCATGAAAATTGTCCAATTTATGTCTATTTTGCCTTTGCTCTTAATCGTGATCAGAGCCAGCTGAAATCAGTTTACTCACATCAACCATTTCAGACAAGGTTGCGAAAATCCACTGGTTTTTGCTAACTTACCGCTGTTTCTATAGCAGGCTGAAGATTATACCAGTTCTTATCAGGAAGCGATTTGCTCCCCAAACCAGTTAAATGCTTAACTTCCCCTTTCCTAAACACATGTCTGATGCTTCCATTTGCTAATCGAGCAAATAAAGATTTAGATGCTACATTTACTACCACTAAGGTGCAAACATACTTGCTAGTACCAACCCAAGGTCGAGGTACGGTCAGGTACTCCAAAAGAGCAGCAATCCTCTGCGAACCTTTCTCAACGATTCTTTATAGCAATATGACCTATTTGCGTCCATTGTTTGTGATCTCAGCAAACGCCAAAGGAGACAGTCTCTGGTTATGCATAAAGTTAGCGCTGGCCATAAAACAAGTGATTGTGAGAACAAAATTGCAACAGACAATAGCAGCTGTCACTCTGTCAAGATGTGATATCGTAGATCCCTTCAAGGAGCCTTTTCGATCGGTTTAGTTCCCTCACTTGAGCGTTGAAGTCGTGTGTTACCATGATGATGTATGAGCGGTTCGCTTCATGTAGTAAGATTGACAGCTTTTCGTTGAACTCATTCTTTCTATCCTCCGAACTGTAGTCAGTGACAGCATAGCATAGGTAGAAACTACCAGTAAACACTGGCAAATGACACAGCACCGGCCGATGAAGTCTCTTACTGTTGGCCTGAGCCATGTGGGGGGAAATGTAGACTGCCTTGTTGGGGTTCCCGAGACGAAAAGAACAAGTGGTTGAGGATTCTTGGTGATATGGCGGAAAATTGGTCACAATGGAGCTCCTTGATATCTTCTAAAGCATGAATGTTCACACCACTTTATCTACTTTCGTATCACTGTTTTTCTATTCACCTGTTCTTTGTGTACTCCTGTAGTGTGACAACTTGGGCAGATGCACCTGTGTGCGAGATTTTACATTGATTTTGTCAATTAGTCAGCCATGGCTTTTTTCACTTCTTACGAATTCATATCTGATAGTGCACAACCGGCTGTCGACTGGTATGGTTTTGAAAAGTTCACTTTCTGTTCTAGAACTGAATGCGATACACCCAAACTAAGCCTATGGGAAGTCACTCAATTTGCAGACACGTAAGACTGATTTCTTAAACTTACCGCATTACGTGAGGTCAAGTGAATAACAACACTCGGATCTTTAAGCGTCTCAGTAACACAGAATACGTCCATGGCTTGAGATTCCATTGTTCTGGCAGGTGATACGTGCTGTTCAATTTGGCAAATGTAAAACCATGCTAACAGCATAAATCCTAAATTAATGTCTGTCGTTTTTGAAAAGTATATTCTAGAATACGTCACCAATACACCTGACCATAAAAAGACTAAGATCAAATTTTGCAATAAAGTAGCTTGGTAGGCATTTTCAGTATCTATAGAAAAACGCTTTCACTACTATGGATGACATACAAAAAATGTCATTAAGCGTAATAACATACTTTGTTACAGGTATCCAATGCAGATCAAGTTCGTCCAGAACGAAATTCAAGGTTTTAATAGCTCTTTTCAGAACGCTAGTGTATGCCTTGTCGAAAGTGAACTGGTTTTGACGAAGAAGTTGACCGGCTTGCTTGGCTTCATTTATACCTTGAGCTGAAAGGTCTGCATCATGCCATCCACAAAACCGATTTTCCTCATTATAAACACTCTCCCCATGACGAATGAATACAATTTTGAATGGAGCCATATAGTTTGACTTATCTGATAAAAAAATTGTTCCGTGATGTATATTAACATTTGCAATAAAGTTTAGGTCAATTAGTTTAAGTTACAAAAAACAAGTAACAAATAATACTCAGTGAGAAATACTGCGAACAAATGGCTTCGTGCATGAACCCCATTGCAGGCATAAAAACAGTATTACATATATTGGTATAAAGTCATTGCATTCACAACTCAAAGAGTAAACCGTCATTATTTTGTGATTCATTTTTTGCTTTAATTCACTGAACGACAAGTAACGAAAAGTCAGTCTTTTTATTCATTACCGTTTGGATTTCTTTAAATAATACATACAACTTATGATTTTTAGTTGAGAGAACTAACCACACTTATGACATGCTTATTCTTGATCTGCTATCCAAACACCCAAATGAAAAGCCTGCAAATTAATTTTTCATAACAGAAGTGGAGCTGTGGCCCAGTGGTTTATGGAGAAAATTATCAAGCCTTGGGTGGTGAATTCAAGCCCCGCTCCACCTACTACGGTTTGGGCAGCCAGGTAGCATTACTAGACTTCATCCAGTTGGTGTGGCTCATTGCCTACTGCACGGATGTGCAAAAGGTGGCTGAGTGCGTTTCCTTTACTTTTTCGTTCCATAACAGAAGTTGGAACCTCAGCGATCCTGTGTTGCATATACAAAAGTTCGGATAACCTACAACTGAAATATACTTATGCCGTTATAAGTGTAAGCTCACGAATCAGCACTTAATAGTTAGTGAATGCCGGACACGATAAACGAAACACTTTACATGAAAAGGGATAATAAGTTATGGCCGGAACGTTATGCAGTAAATGATACTGCTTCACTGTGACATTTCTAATAAACAAACTAAGTTGGAATTACGATTTACCCGTGTCCAAATTTTACTCCTGTATTAACCATAAATGAGAACCTTTTAGAGTACATGAATGCAAAAGCATGGAAGCATCTTATTTAGCTTCCATTAGACGGTTATCAAGCCACGAATGCATCCTGTGCTCCTGAGGTAAGTAAACAGGACCCAAGTGTGATTGTTGAATTAACCTGCATCTGGACATTGCAGTGAACATTCCTCTTGAGAATATCCCGAAAGCCTATGGCTGGCTCTCGCGGATTCGCCGGTGTATGTATACCACTGATTTATAGAGCAAAATGCACTTCTCCATTTGATGCCATTCAACAGCTATCTATGCGCTGTTCGACTGAATGGAACTGTAATAACTAGGAAGAGTCAAAAGACTACCCGACGGTTACAAATAATCTTCGCCCACCGACTACAGTCTGGAAACTACAAGGGAGGAATTCGGCCAAAAGCTGGTTATTTTACCGCAGGAAGCAAGATGTTTAGATACTGCCATCACAGCAGGTGATTTTGATGTCCAAGTCGGGAAGCTGGCATTCGAAAAGGTATCTTGGAAGTATCTACAAAATCCCATACCAGCAAACAGACAGCAGCGATTTTTGGTCACAATCTTATTCAGGCCAGAACTAACTTCAAGGATGAGGTGGAAGTCTCATATGGTGTTTACCGAGATCATACCGACTATAGAAACAGACACATCACACTGCTATAACTTGTAGTTGGTGATCGGTGGAGGATTCCCACTTTTGGAGGGCGTGTTTGGACTTAGATCACGTGCAAGCACGGACTAGTGTTTGTATGTGGTTTACTGGTCGCAGTAAACAGACGACAGTAAGGCCTGGCTATGCACGCCAGGAAAATGGAAACCTGAAGTACACACATGAGGAGGAAACAGGTAAGCATTTATCTTTTCGTGACCGCTACGTTCATCATAGGCAAATCAGAAGTGATATTAGGTCTGTTGCAGAAACAGTGGTGAAGACGGTTGGAAACCTACAGCCGAAGGTTAGCTAGTGTTACTGGATTCCCCCAACGTCATCCAAACTAATAGGTGTGAGAAGACCCCACACAGCAGATTCTGCACTAATCTTCACAGAATTTCTCTCGTCCGGTAAAATCATCACGTGAGTGACGTTGAGGTCAAGTGAGGAGTGCTAGGCAAGAAATTCACGTCAGTCGACAGGTTGTGAACCCTCAGCAGCTGTGAACTGGATATCTACGGTGCATGCCGTCACACCCACCTCAACATGCCATGTTGGGGGGTTGGACTAGGTTGGGAGAGGGTTCAGGGTGGCAAGACGAAGAACCTGCGCATGAATTTCTACACGGCGGCATATTTCTTAGTGCCCTTGCTGCACCATATTTGTGCCCCAATAATACAAAAACAATAATCCTGTTGCTTTAAGCTATGCAGGGATGTATACTGTCTGGTCAAGGTATCCCAGACGAAAGGATTCAGTCGTTGGGACTCTTCGTAAAATGTGTAAAAATCGATTGCAATGGAACGGATGCATTCATCCTTTGGTGTCTCCTAAAGCTTGAAGTTTATGACTAACTTCAGTTCTAAAATTACCTCTCCTCTCACACACCTTTGTCTCCTTTGATACGTCTTTTCTATCCACTTGTTTTTTGTTTACAACTATGAAGTGTGGTAACCTGAACCGAAGCACCTATGTGTGAGGTTCTACGTTGATTTTGTTTGTATGCTTGCAATTAGAAAGTCTTTCGTCTAGCTTACTAGTTACCTTTTGAGCCTCAACAGTTTAGGATCAAGCTTAGACTGAAGGACAATGTAGCTTATGAAGTACGGTTACACGAAGTCGCTTTCAACAAACTCAACTCATACTGCGAATTTGTTGCTTTTATTTGATCTTATATGCAGCACTACTGTAATTGTGTCTCCTGCATACTAAAGAGAATTGCATGCACAATCCAAAATTGCTTTACTGCAAACCAGTACAATCTAATCAACGATGATAATACAATCAAAAATATACGAACCATACCTATCGCATAAGTAGCTATCATGATTCGGTGACCTAGTGGGTAACGGTCTGACGTTCTAAGTGATCGGCTCGAGACTTAGTGAGAACACCCCTTAATGTAAGGCGGGCGCATCCAGCTGAGTACTAAATAGGCGAAAACTCCAAGGATCCCATTGCTAGCCTCATTACTGTAAGAATACGCTTTGGGTTTATGAGTTATCAAGCTCCATTTAGCCGACATACCGTGACTGTGTCAGTGATGCTGCAGAGAGATTTTCATCATTAACAGGCAGTATGGAGAGCAGTATGTACTTGAAAGTACAGTGATAAAACGTTTCTAATTTTCACCCTCAAAAGACTAATTGAGAATATTATCACTTGCTAGCATACTGTATTAGAATGCATCTGAACATTTCTTCAAGGAATAACTTATCAGTACAAGCAGTGCGATCAGTGGGAAACCTATTACCAAGGAATGTCAACCCATGATTCCATACATAAAACAAAGTCAAATTAAACTGAAGGAATATCCCAATTATCACTATAAAATATAAAGGTGCGCCTGTGGCACATATTTTGGTGATCATCCAGCTGCTTAACGATGATGGTGAGAGATTGGTTGAGGAATAGATAGTTCAATTCCTACCACTCAGTCTAAGTGGCGAATCCATCTGAAGTCGAAAGTAAGCTATGAAGGGTTTGTTACAGCACCGGAAATGTCCAAAGCACAATAATGCCTTCAGTTGAGCGACAAAAAACGTTGGCGAATCTAGAGAACAAAAACTGCTATCATATGCAGCTAACCCAAACTGAGTGATCACTACTATTATCTGATGAGTATTGCCTGGCTTTTTAACCATACACTAAAAAATAACAAATCGTAGGGTGAAATGAAAGTCCAACAAATGCGAGACTCTCTCAACTGCAACCACGCTCTCGATTACTGAAATGTCACGTACACAAGGTAATCTGAAATAAACCCGCCTTTAGATGTTTCTGTCGTCTTAATTGATTCAAACAAACACTCTAAATAACATAAACTTTTCATGTGTACTATTTATTAGGCAAGTGATGACAGTCAAAATGTATTCAGATTGTCTCATAAAGCACCCATCAACTGAATAAATAATAGCATCTTATGCTACGTAAGAGTATAGGTTTGAAATATGAGTTTCGATTCACAAATGCTTTTGGTAAGCATACTTAGTGTGACATCACCGGTTGTCAGATAGATCTTCTAATTTTAAGCGACCCTATATGCTGTAGCATGTTTGGCAGGGATTTTAAACCCTTAACTGAATTCTTCAGTCCTAAGGACGGTACTCCAAATAACCTGTCGGTTTCTATTTGGAGGTGTTCACAAGTTCTTGTAACGTATTCCAGCCACTGAAAACCCCGTAAGAGGATATTATTTCCACTAGCGGTTTGTCCGACCATGGCCTTTGAATCCTTTTTCGATGGTTTAAATAATCACTCCTTCGGAGGAGTCAGCGGATTGTAGAGATCCGCGCCCAAACCGTTATCCGAATAACTATGCCTTAATATATGACTTTTTCTCACAACAATGGAAGAAGATGCAGACTTCCAAAGTGCTCTCCGTAGGAGAGGTGGGAAATTCGTGTCAGTAACATTACCAACTCCGGAATTACTTATAAACCTGTATGTGGCAAGCAGTGGCTCGCCGTGTGCTATTTCGCGACATCATTTTACGCAAGCACGAAGCAGTATCCCAAGTGTTTCTTTGATGGCGAAGAGTTAGAAAGCCTTATATAGTGACTAAGGCATGCGGAATACTTTGATCGCCGCTGCGTTATACTGTTCCATTGTTTCTAAGCTGTGGTTGATAACAATCGGTATATCCTTTTGTTCCCTAACGAGAGACGATAGTGATCCGTCTAATGAGTTGGGTTAGTAAGACTCTTGAACGACGTGCATCACCGCACTTTTGCCAGGGCTGATTTCCATGCTTCAGCATTCTGACCACCGGGCCACTTCCCTTCAGTCAGTCTGGAGTGGTAAGCTATCTGCATTACTATGAACAATCTTCCGAAACTCAGTGTCGTCTGCAGGTGGGAAAGGGGGAGTGACTTTTCACGTTCAGCTAGATTCGAGGAGTTTTTGTATTTACACATCAACGGCTGCTGTATATTTGCAGTAATCAGAATATTATTCGATTAAAGTGGATCAGTAACCTTTACTGGATGAATTTCTGTAGCTTTTACTACATGGTGAACCAAAAGTGTCGTAAAAATATTTGTGGTAGAGTTGGGCGCCACTTCACAGTGGCCTCTGTTACGCAGTATAGTGAATGTGAGAGTTGGTTCCAGGCCAAATATACAAGCTTCACACCCCCAGTATACAAGCGGAACAGCATCGCAGGAAGTGTCTAGCTTTATACATTGTGCTACTCTCGCACTCCGGTAGAAAAAGTAAAAGCACTTCCAAGTACGATGACTGGTAGTAACAACGACACAGCGTCCACCGACACTGGCTGCTGCGCAAAATTTCAGGAATATCCCACAACGAGCTGTAAGTCAAATGCGTAGACAACCTACTAGGTTTGCTGACAGCTACTTGGAAAAAAATACACCAAACAGGGTGAAGCGAGTACCTTCTGGTTCTCGCATCCCCAGAGCTGGCAGACCAAGACAGAAAACTGCTGACCGTAAGACTAGGTCTTCTTCATATGAAAGAAACAAGAGTGGGCAACTCTGGATGCCAACAGTGGAACCATGCAGACCGTAGGTCATTCCCAGTTTGGCGACCCAGTCGTTGACAAGAACTAAACAGGATGGGATGCAAGTCCGTTCTGAGGCTCTCAGCGTCAAAGTCACTGGACTAGGTTTTAGTAAACCTTGCATACCCGACTCTGAGAAATGACAAGTAACTTTGTCTGGACGGCACGTCAAGAAGCCAATAACGGTCATCGAGCCAGCTATCATCACTCCGTAGGGCAAAGACAAAGTGGAGATCCCTGACAAGTCTGTAATCTTCCACGGAGCGGAAGAAGGTAGAGACGTAGAACCAGGTAAACACCATTACTTTTAGGTCAGCACCGGCATGTAGTTTGTATAATGGCAAAACACCATTCCAATGAATAAGTATCGCTCAAAACTTTTACGTAGGTTTTTCACAGCGCAATACAGTATGCTGTGGAACAAACTCCCCGCTCCTACATGGGCATGTCGATCTTTCGGCCAGTTTCAACAATTACTCGGTGAACTCCTTCTACCTGACGATTCTCACCAATTCGTTGACGACCAAATCACAAGTGGTGATGCCATATACGATGATGCTACTGGTACCCAGACCCACGGGAGACTAACGTAGCAATGAAAAAAGTATACATTGCCGAAAATTAAGCGCATAGGTTAAGACAAAATCTAGTAAAACAGCTGACCTCCAGTTGACAGGAAGCGGGGTGTGATGCGATTTGCGACGGTGAACTCCGTAGCAACCCTGATGTAACCTCCGTTTCTTCGTAACCTTACTGATATCTCGGCTTAACACCTATTCAATCTGAACCGTGGGAAATAAATCTTTTACTCCTCATCCCAAGTAAATAAATTCAGCCCACCATCACCAGGACTCATATTTCTGACTTTTATCTCACTCTAGTTATGTCTTGCCGACCAGGTACCCACATACCTCCGCTCTACAATACTAGGCGAGCGTGCAGTGGTCATAGGCTCCTGCAAGAAACTTTAACATTAGCAAAAGGAAAAGAAGTCCATTTAAAATAAATCTTATGATACTATGTGTTACAAGAGTATCGGCGACAGGTAGTCAGATGATACGGAAAGCACAGAACAGGAACTTCTCTTTCCTTCATACTGGGATGCGTTGTAATTCCCTGTTCCACTTCTGTTCATGCTTATACTTTCTTTTCACGTTTGCAGCAACAGCCCGATGAGGACATCTGATGCTGAATTTCAATCTGAACATAACTGCTTAGTGGAAACAATACCTGCTGTCCGACGCCAATAATTGCTGGACCGCCACCAATCTTTCGCGTTTTCCGGACCATCTTCACGATTAACTCATCTACTGGTCATGGCTCTTCTCTCGACGCACCTTCTGAGCTTTCATAACAGTTATAGTAGCACAAATATTCCGAAGAAATGATTAAACCGGCGGCCAACTTGCGTATTGGCTCGGAACACGATTTACCTGCAGTGACTCCATACTGCACGTTTTCTAGTACTCTGTATCAAGTGATCTTTTCATAAGAGACTTAATACGCATCAAACACACTTCTCGAATGATTCTGTTTACACCAATATGGAAGATACCCGAAGTCTGCATATAACCACTGCCATTTGGACTATTAACCGTTTCAACGTTTATTTTCATCCACTAACACTAGTGTTCCCGGTGGAACTAATCTATATTACCTTTGAACGTAACACGGTGACTGTAACGGAACAATGATCTGAAGATCCCTCCCGATCACCGCATTTGATAGTATTGACAACTATTTGAATATTTTTACCCTCGTTATGGATGGCGTACCTTTGGCCCTAGCTGGTGTAATGTTATTTGCTTGCTTGACTGTCTTATTTGACTTCCCACTCAGTATTTGCCTTTGTATGATAGAGACTTGTCATGGACGTTTCACGTTCCTATTATGTGACGCCGGACTGTTGACAACGTGGTGTTGTTTTGCTGCGCCCGACATTGTGTTTTGGTTCAACTTACGGTTGTACTGTGATTTGACTGTTTGTCTTTAGACTGTCTACTGGAAACGTTTATTTTTATTTGATTCTGGTAGGCAGAGTTTTGATCCCTTTTGTCTGGAATATTCCTACTGACTGTCAGGTACTCAACAGTTGTATTTGTTTAACCAGTTTTTACCGTGTAGTACGTGTTTGCACCCGACAACCTTTTGGCTGTATAGTTACCCAACGGCACTGTTGAGGTATTTTTGTGCTTTTGATGTAACTTATTGTTGCTATTACAGTACCACGAAACTACCATTGATTTACTACAAACCGTGATTTGATGTTTTGATCCAACCTTTGTGCGTCACTCGCGGAAGTTGGGAAGCTATACAGTAGAATGCAGGAACTAGTCAGATTCACGTCAGTTGATACCGCCCGGTTATTTCCCGCGTACAGGCCGAAATTATTGGAGCTTGGCTGTTACAGTGACCTGGAAATGCATTGCTTTAGACACTCACCTTGGTTAAATAACTAAGGATACTTTACCGACACCGTGGATGGTAAAAATTGGTCATTTGTGGTGAGCAAAGCCGAAAATTGATGAACTTTCTGATGGATACGAGGTTATATCACTAAGTAGCAAACTATGCAAATGGACTTACAGTGTCGGTTGGTTAAAATACAAACTTCGAACATAGCGCGCTTTTGCTCCTAGTAGTGGAACCCATCTGTGTGATGGGAAATGAAAATCCATGCCCATCTAACGAATTACAGCAAGTTTCATTCGGGTTGTGCACATCAATGACTTGATATGTAAATTTTTTTAACGCTAAACTCCATTTTGTAAGCTTTCAAGAATTACCAACTTGATGGTGCTTGTAAACTAGTATCTCTCATGTTAAATCCATTGCGTGAAAATAATCATTATTATCCACACTTTAGCACTCCGTTACGCGGAAAAGTGATATTTCCCTGCTCGTATCGTAAACCAGCGGGATTTCCGATGTTTTTAATAAAGTATAATGACATACCCTCGGTACCATTCGGAACTCATAAAATCTTGTGCACTTTTCCACACATATTTATGTGATGACGCCTGTAAACCTGTTCTCCCATGTCTGATTACTAATGTGAGGATAAAACGCTTATATTTATATGTCCATATTTTTACTTTTGGTTTCGGAGATTTGTCCAAGATTCCGCACGAGCATCATCCAGTCCATCCACACGGATAGGTCATGGGAACTCGGAGGTGTTTCCTAACCAATATGAGGTTTGCAAAGACTGCAACAACTGCTTGGCTGGAAGGCAAACTAAGGAA